CACCCAAAGCACGTTCTTGAGGCCCACCATCTTCCCATCAGCACCCTTGAACATGGCCTTGCCCATGCCTTTCACCTCTGCTCGCTGCCCCAAAGCCGATGTAACATGCTTGACCGGCGACGGTTCGAGTTCGGTGAGCAAGTCCGCACGAGGTGTCATGCTATAGGTGGCGCCGCTATCGATCACCCAAAAGTCTAGAGAGTGAAGGGTGACCTTTCCCACAGTAGCTGGCTCCTCAAAGCCTTCCACACCTCCTGCTGCAGCTGCCGCTTGCGTGGAGACAAAGAAGAATTGGTCCGGGTATCGATCTTCACTCGAGTCCTTGTCGTAGTCTCCACCTTTCATGCTTGCCGCTTCGCCTCCACGGCCACCACGGCCTCCACGAACTCTGCCTCTTCCTCCCCTTTCTCCTCTGCCCTCTTGGCCTTGAGAAGGGGTCCATCCATAAGGCAATCTGAAGCAATCTCTCCCCATGTGGCCGGTCTTGTGGCAAAAGTGGCATTCGCCATCAAATCGACCGCGCCCACGCCCGTAGCCATTGTTGTTGTTGTTGCTGCCATATCCTCCATTACCACGGCCTCCATTGCAGTTTCTGCTGCCATATCTGCCTCCTCGCCCTCTGCCCCTTCCACGGCCGTGCCCACGGCCCATGCTTGCAACTCCGGCACCATCGGGACCCGCCAATTCACCATGGCGGAAATCTTCTTGGAAGATTTCCCGCTTCACATCTTCGAGTGAGGGACGGGGCAGATCTCGATTTAGGTTGATGATGAGCGAGGACCATGAGTCTGGAAGTAAGGCCAGCAGCTTGGTCTTCTTTTGAAGGTCACTGTAGTTCAGGTCAGCTCCTTCGAGCCGTGTCAACAAGTCGAAGAATTTCTGCACTCCTTCCTCCACTGGTTCGCCTTCGTCAATTCGAAGTGCCGCCATTTGCCGCTCCAAAACCACAGCCACCGCCGCTGTTGCAGGAGCGTGTACACCCTTGAGAGCAGCCCATGCCTTTGGTCCCTTTGCTGGTTCATGCTGAAAAGGCTTGATGTGACGGATTTGGCTGCTCCCCAACGCTTGCCCAAGTAGAAGGTAGCCTTGTGCGCTCTTCCGCACCAACGGGCTCTTCTCCAGGTCGTTCTCGGGGCGCTTCTCCGTTCCTTCCATCACCTCCAGCAGATCATAGTGGTCAAAGATGTTCTCCATCTTGAAAGACCACACAGCAAAGTTGTCATCGTTGAACTTGTCAAGGCCAAACACTCTAGGCTCATCCCTAGAGGGTCCAAGGCTAGGTTGCACCGTAGCAATGGGTGGATCTTGCTGTTGACGTTGTGCTTGGGCGTCTTCTCTGCCTCCAGCACCTCATCCACCCTCTTCCTCAGGTCTAGGCATGGTCGAGACGGCTGCAACGGGCTCTGATACCACTTGTTATAATCACAATAGGCTCAGATGTGCCTAAAATGAGAGAAATTGTGCACAGTCAGAATTCCGTCAGACAGTTTCAAATATTGATGCTGATCGGATCTGTGCCTCAAATGATGATCAATAAATTGGATCTGGAGCGCGTTGCTGTCGCCTATCAGCAGCAAATTGAAACATAAAATTCCATGAAGATTTGACGACGCTATGGCAGGAGGTATAGCAGCCACTATAGTCTTGGATGTACAACCTTAGCAAGAAGAGTTCGAGATGGAGATGATTCCCAGCCTCTACATACCCCAAGAGTCAAGGTCCAGGTTGGTGGTACACCACGACAGAGTCCCCAACCATGAAGAGTCTCGAAACAAACCCTCCAAGGGGCTACACCAAGTGAAATGTAACACTACACGAAGTAGCGTTACTATTTTCACTATTTAATATTTTTCCGTGTCCCTTGGGCTTGAAATCTTGAGCTCTTGGTCTTGGTTCTGCAAGATAAATTCTTCTTGAGTTGATGGGGGCTTGCTGTACACACCTGCGACGTGATGGACACTTCACACTCGACAAAATAGAAAAACACATGCGACACGTACACGACGACTTGACATGCGAGTTGTGAAAACTCGCTAATGTCTTGACCGACACAAACCACATTGTGATACACCATTCAAACACACACACAAGCACTAGATAATAATGACATAGACTCACAATTCATTCCATGCCATGCATGCACACACACAAACAAGGACGACAAGCCGAGTGCAAGCCATAGGGTTGCACCAACAGAGGTGGCTTTTCTTCCCTTGAGCAGTGTCGAGTGCGGCGCGGGTTCTCCCGCCAGAACGTCTTCAAGAGCTGGCTGCGGGGGGCTCTTAAAGATACTAGGCTAGGAGATCTGATGTGCATGGGGCACCTAGAGTATGACCCCGACTGGAAAGAGGTGATCTCCATCTGGCAGGCTTATAAGGAGAGGAAGCCTAGTAGCAACGCGCTGCCCGAGGCCAACAGCAGCAGGAAAGGAAAGAAGAAGGTAGATGATGAGATGCAGGCAGCACCCCAATAGGATGATATGCAGGATATCAACGGAAAGTGCAATGTAGTGAAATTGTGTGCATTCTCTAATCAAGAAGCAAGAATTGGCTCATACAAAAGTTTGGCTATGACTTAGGTGAGCGACCTAGCTCTGCCCCGGTCCTGTTCGCTGACAACAGGGCCATGATCCTCCTGTGTCAGGAGCCTCGACTCGAGGGCAGAGCGAAGCACATTCAGCTGCGGTACTTCCTCCTGCGCGAGCTACAGCAGCGACGCCAGGCTCGCGTAGTACACTTGGCCTCAGGTGCCAATACAGCTGATATCTTTACGAAGGCGCTTGCGCCTAAAGATCATCAGCGGCACTGTGTACAGCTTGGTCTAGTTCCTGTAGCCTCTCACTTGCTAGGACCTTGACTTTGTACTGTCCTTTATATGTATACTCAGACTGGACTTGTGTCCTCTCCCAGTGGCTGGACTAGTAGTGACGCCCTGCTCTTGTGCTTGCCTTGTCTGTACTCCTTCTGACCGGTCGCTCAGACCCTTGTCTCAGAGGTTGGACTAGTAGTGCCGCCCTGAGCTGCTTGTTTAGGGTATTCCCCTATGCAGTCTAGGGGGTGTGTCAAACATGTGTATTTGTCATGTTTGTATAAACTGTATAGAGTCACCTCTTAGAGGATACAAAACTTAGATATATTTGTGTGTACTTGTTAAAATTATATAAGTTATAATTTATATAGGCTTGGTAGGTTGTTACTGAACCTTTCTGTAGGGGGTACAAACCCCTCCTTGTACTCCCCTCTCTTCTAATCCAACATCTTTTCCTCTCCTCAACTTTCCTAGCACCTAAAACCTCTCGCCATTCTCATGGCTCCTCCTAGCTCCTAGCTAAACCTTGTGCCATTCTATGGCTTCCTAGCTAAGCTAGTTTCTGACATGGTATTAGAGCAGTTCGTTCCGTGTGGGCCTGCTCCTCGCGTTTCCGCTGCGTGCTCGTTTCTCTCTCTATCTCGCGCTGCCATGGCGGCCGCGTCAAGCTGCTGTGGCCGCGTCGTCGTGCCGCGGCGCCGCTGTCGACGTCCATGGCGCCCGCGTCCAGCTGCTGTGGCCGCGCCGTCGTGCCGCAGCTCCGCCGTCGCGTCAAGTTGCTGTCGCGACGTGACGGCGCCGTCACGCTGCCGCGGCGTCTACGCGACAGCGCGCAGTCGGCGTACCAGCGACGTCGTGCTGCCGTCGCAGCGTCGACGCCCCGCTGCGGCATCGACGCCGCTCCATGACGGCGTCGTCGGGCTGCAGCCGGCCGCGTGACGCTTGTGGCGCCGCTAGACCGTCCGCCCGCATGTCAGCCTGTGGCGCCGCCCCCCCCCCCCCACCCCCCCTCCTTCCCCTGCGCCCTCTTCCATTCCGCAGACGACGGCTGACTCCCGCCGGCCGTCCCACAGTCGCGGGGCCAGGCCACGTCACCGAGAGGTGCGGGTGCCGCCGCCGCTGCCGCTGTTGTCGAAGCCGCCGCCGCCGCCGCTGTCGCCGCTTGCGTCGGGGCCACGCAGCCGCACGCCGCCGCCGCCGCCGCTGTCGACACTGCCGCCGCTGCCGCCGTCGCCGCCGCAGCCCCTGCGGTCGACGTCGCCGCCTCACGCGCCGTGGGGTCGACCGACCTAGAGTCGCTGTCACTGTGGCTGGAATGGGGGTGCTAGGTTAGGGGGTGTGGGTGTGTGTGGGTGTGTGACTACCAAGCCTAAGGGGTGTGTTAAAATTATATAAGTTATAATTTATATAGGCTTGGTAGGTTGTTACTGAACCTTTCTGTAGGGGGTACAAACCCCTCCTTGTACTCCCCTCTCTTCTAATCCAACATCTTTTCCTCTCCTCAACTTTCCTAGCACCTAAAACCTCTCGCCATTCTCATGGCTCCTCCTAGCTCCTAGCTAAACCTTGTGCCATTCTATGGCTTCCTAGCTAAGCTAGTTTCTGACAGTACTCTCACTTTACCATTATTCAATTATTCTGATATCAGGTTATTCAACCTTGACCTTCACATTTTACAAGACTTCCGCTGTCTTACTAGTCTACCATTCCAGCAAAAATCCTGGACCAACACTTGAGGGTTTGCCAAGTGTTCGCATTTATAGTTTTATACTTAGTCTTCTACAACATCAGGAGATTTATTTCAGGAATGACGTGGAAAAGGTTGGTGTAGCACGTACGGGACAGAGCTAGGGCCTAGTCCGGCGACGTGTACGTTCGGTGTACGTGCTAGAAGTGCTCCTTAGTAAAAAAATACTAAAAGTACACCTCACCAAACTAGGCCCTGGCTCTGTCAATTACATGGCACACCGAACCATTTCCGCGTCATTCCAAAGCACTCCGCGTCCTTGGATGCCTTCTCCAAACCTGTGCATCACGCGGTTAAGTTTCGTTTTTGTGTTCCTATATCTAGCCTCGTCATTCATTGTATCGTACACTTTCTGGATTCTGTCATTTCGAATTTCGATATTGTGTGAGAACCCGAAAACTTGAACCCTGTTCTGTTTCTGTTCCAACCACTCAGTTCTTTCACCTTGACATGGCACTTTAGCTAGGTTAGACCCTAGCCTCTATGCTTCCGCCCTAGGCAGTCCCCGTTCACCTTCCGTCGCACTGCCCGCGCCGCTCTGCACTCTAACCTGCGCCCGTGCCCTAGCCCGCACCCGCGCCTGCGCCTGCCGCGCCCTACCCACGCCCGCCGTGCCTGTCGCACATGCCGTGCTTGCCGCGCCCACCGCGCCTGCCCGCGCCTTCCACGCCTGTCGCGCCTGCTGTGCCTGTTGCGCCTGCCGTGCCCGCGCTCGCTGTCAGCCAACTAGCCAGCCCATCAGCCAGCCAGCCAGTCGCCGCCAGCCAGCCAGCAGCAGCAGCAGAGGAACTGTGCTGCGTGGAGAGTGTACGTACAGCCTCCCGTTGCTGCTCCAACCATGGCACATCCACGAAGAACCAACTCTGCACCTTCTCCTTTCCTTCTCCCGATTCCCTTTCCTTGATTCATCCTGCCCGCCTGTTCCCTTTGCAGCGCAGACTCGCAGAGTGTGTGCACAGCTTCACGCTGCTGTACCTGCCGTGGCGCATCCACCAGACGCAAGACCTCCCTCCTATCGTGCCTGCGCTTGACCTGTTTGCCTCAGGCCTCAGCCTGTGGACAGATTCACAAGTGTCCCAACACACGACCCCACCCACCCCTTCCACTTCCCTTCTTCCCCTTCCCCTCCTCACTTCCCTTTTCCTCTTCCCGTCCTCACTTCCCTTCGTTTCCGTCGCTTGCCCTTCCTCTCTTCTCTCGTGAATCCCGTTCTCCCCAATGCCGTCCCATGTGTGTCATGTCAGGTGGTGGCGGAGATGGAGCATGGGCTGCGCACCATGCTCAAGGTGTGCGGCTTGCGCAACCTTGCACTGTGGCTGGGCACAGCCGTTGTGGACTGCTTCGCAATGTGGCTCTGCACGCTGCTCATCACTGCTGTTGGCCTCTGCTTCCAGTCGTCCCCGTTCACTGTGGTGCGTTGTATGCATCATGCGTTCACTGTGGTGCATTGTATGCATCATGCATTCGCTGTGGTGCGTTGTATGCATCATGCGTTCGCCATGGTGCGTTGTATGCATCATGCGTTCGTTGTGGTACACAGTGTCTACATTGTGCATTGTGCATTCACTTTCAACAATTGCTCTCCTCGTACATGAACTGAGCGCACTCCATTTTCCCACCACCATTCCCTCCCGTTCTCTTAGTTCTTCCACCTCCCTTCGAACCCCCCTCTCTCCTGCTATCCTTCTACGGTTCCAATTCACCCTTTCCTCCTCCACCCCTTCTCCCACGCCCGCCTCCCCCTCTCCCCTCCCCCTCCCCCCCAGCCCGCCCTGCCAGCGCTCTTGGTGGTGTTCGCTATCACCATCCCGGCACTAGTCCTCCCCTCCTACCTGCTCTCCTTCTCCTTCGACTCGACCCAGCTCGCAGCCGCCACGCTCTCCCTCCTCTTCCTGCTCCTCGCCGTCATCCCCTTCGTCTTCATGCTCCGTGTGTCCCCTGCATCCTTCTCCATCCCTCATGGCCTGCTCTCGCTGCTCTCCCCGCCCTACGCGCTCATGCCCAGCCTCCACTTCATCGCAGCAGCGTACGCTCACGAGCCCCTCACCCCCTCCCCTCTCGACATCTACTCCCTCTCAGCCACCGACTACTACTCGCTCCACTACCCCGCGTACCCCGTGCAAGTCTCCATGACTTCAGTGGTCATCGCGCTTGTCCTCATGGCGCTGCGGCTGGGGCAGCTGCACAGGGACTGGGAGAACCAGGACGAGGAAGGGGCTGGGGATCTCGCGGCGATGATGGGCCCGGGGTATGACGAGGAGAGTGGCGATAGGGATGTGGTTCGGGAGAAGGAGCATGTGCAGGAGAGTGCGGCCAAGTGGGATTTCGTGCAGAGCGGAGGCAAGGAGGGGGACCTCGTGCTCTGCAGCAGCGTTGGCAAGGTAAGAGGATGGGGGAGGTGATATGGAGGGGGAGGGGGGAAACGGGAGGCTGGTGGGGGGTGGGGGGTTGGGAGCTGGGCAGATTAGGAAATGCAGCCAGGGAATGCATAGCAGAGGGAGTAGAGGGATTATGTACTACAGCTGTGGAGTGTTTTTCATTGGTGCTTGTTTCGCTATTCCCGTTGGATTTCCAACTACTTCCTCACGCTCGTGCTGTTTCCACCTCTCCCTTAACCTGAGGGCCTACCTTTTTGTTGTTCAGAACTTTGGAGCCTCGTCTGGTGTGTGTGGGATAGGCAAGAACCCGGGAGTGTGGACAGTGTCTAATCTCTGGCTCGGAGTGCCATGAGGACATGTACGACCCTGTCCTCTCGATGCTGCAACGTTCCTCTCCATGTCTTCCTTCCCTGCCTGTCTGTTTGCCTGCCTTCTTGCCTGCCTGCTTGTCTATTTTGTCTATCTGCCCTTCTCCCGCTCCCCTGTTTCGACCCAGTCTTTGCATCCGTCCTGTCTCTCTCACATGTGGGCCTTCCCTTGAGCGTGTTCCACGCTCAATCATACTTGCCCACCTGCCAAGTGAGGTTGGGTTGGAGCATGCCGCACTGGAGACCCATGCCATGGGGAACCAGCTGGGCGTGTCACGCACATTTAACAAGTTCCTCTCTACGCTGACGGGCGTCATATGTGCCCTAGCTCAGAAGACGCCCCATGTTCCGTACCGCGACAGCATGCCCACCAAGCCACTGGTGGATTCGCTGCGAGCACAGTGCCGGACGCTGATGATCATGCACATCTCACCGCGCCATGCAAATCTGAGGGAGTTGCCTGAGTTGTGCGACTTGCCCAGGTTTGTCTGGGCAATCATCAATGTTCGGCACCGTGCACGCAATGATTCCGTCATTGGCTTTGTGAGTGTGCTGTCGTGGTAGGGGATTTGGGACGTCTCCTAAGATAAGTAACTTACGACGCCCGTCAGCACCGAGCAGGTCTTGTTTTAATTGCACGCTACTCATCCAGCTGCCCCCGCTTGTCCGCATCATGTATAGCAACGCTTCCATCGATGTCCAGCAAATACCGCTCTTCTCATCCCCGTACAATACTGCCTCGTCAGGTGGTGCTGCTGGTGGGTGGAGAGAAGGCCGGCAAAGTAGCGCTGCTGCCGTTGGCTACCTCTGCCTGTCGCACAGCAACAACCCCTCCATCATTGGTTACTGCCCGCAGGCCGACGTGAGTGCACTTCACATTCACACACACACATTCACACACACACACACACACATTCACATTCACATTCACGCAGACCTCCTCTTCACGTCCCCTTTCCCACGCTTTTCTCTTGTCATTACCAACTCTTACCTTTTCAACTGTGTATACAGCCGCTTTACCTGTGCCACTCCTCTCCCCTTCCCCCCTCCCCGGCAGATGATGCACGGGTTCCTGTCAGTGCAGGAGTATCTGCACTTTATGGCGTCCGTGAAAGGGCTGAGGGAGCCCCTGTCCGCCCCTGTCACCCACGTGCTGCGACTATCTTCTTAGTCCTTTCTCTCAGTTGTTTGTTCCCTCCCTCCTTTCCCCTCTCCCCCCCTTCCCACCCCCCGCCCCCCCGTCCTTGCTCTTCCCCTCCTTTTCTCGGCCCTTTGTTTTCCTGGGCCAACCCTTTCCTCTCTTTTTTTCTCCGTTCCCTTGATCTTCTCATCCGCTCCTCTCCCATCTCCCATCAGGACATTCTCCTCCCCCGCTCTCTCATTCTCTTCCACATCATTCACCTGCATCCTGCTCTCACCATCCCCTCAAATTTTCCCCCCACTCCCCCCCCCCCCCTTCCCCCCTCCACCTTTCCCCCGCCTTTCCCCCTCTCTTCCCCCCCTCTCCCCTCGCGCACCCAGCGTCCGAGGCATCGCAGCGCATAGACGGGTGTCGCTCGGGGCTGCTGCTGGGTGATCCGGCGGTGCTGCTGCTGGACGATCCCTCGCAAGGTATTAGCCAGAAGTTGTGGGGTGCGGCGTGCGATGGAATGGGTTGCCTTGGGCTGTGGCGTGGGCTGTGGCTTGCCGTGGTGTGGCTTGCGGTGCGGTGGTGCGGGATGGTATGGGGTTGTTTTGGTTTGAAGTGCCGTCCAGATTGTAGCTTGCTGCAGCAGCAGCAGAAGGAGAGTATACCACTTCCTCCCTCTTTCCCTGCCCCACACATTTTAATTCTTTAAGGTGTGTGCTACTGCGTTTTGTTTTGATTCTTGATATTTCTCAGCAAAAAGAGCACTGTAGCTGGTGTGCCACCACTCACTCACAGAATTATACTCGACGCCCCTGTGCCCTCTTCACTCACCTCGCTCCCCCTCCCTTCCTCCCCAACTCCCTGGTCGGTTGCTGCCTGCCAGCCATGGACATGGCGAGTCGGCGTCTGCTGTGGGGCCGCATTCTCTCCGACACCCCGCACCACGCCACTTTCATCGCCACCCACTCCGTTGAAGAGGCAGAGGCCCTTGAAGTGTACCGTTTCATCCTCCTCTTTTTCGCTTCGCATTCATAAACAAAAAAAACTCCATAGCATGGGTCATGTCAACCTTTTCTTTCACCCCTTGCCTTGTCCCCTCTGTTCTAGTAAACACACAAAGGCCCTTATCTCTGCCACTCTGCCACTCGCCACTCCCACTCCTACTCCCACTCCTACTCCCACTCCTACTCCCACTCCTACTCCCACTCCTACTCCCACTCCTACTCCCACTCCTACTCCCACTCCCCTATCCTCCCAGCTCGCGCTTGGGCATCTTGGTGCGCAGGCAGCTCAAGTGCCTGGGCTCCCCCCAGGTACTCAAGGTGCGCTACGGCTCTGCCTACACGCTCCTGCTCTCCGCACAGCCATGCCGCCTGCCCCCCATCCGCGCCTTCCTCTCCTCCATCGTGCCCACCTTCTCCGAGCACTGACGCTGCTCCACTGCCCGTCAGCGTTGACCATGCCCCTCATGCTTCGGATTACCAGCATCCCGATGCTCCTGCTCTCATGCCCGCTGCTGCCACTGGTGGTGGCGACGGCGGCGGTGATGTTGGCTCTTTGCTGGGAGAAGAGGAAGAGCATATGGCGTCGCAAGGGTTTCAGGAACAGCATCAGCATCAGCAGCAGCAGCAGCAGCAGCAGCTAGTGGCATCGCCGCCACCTGCATCTGCAGTAGCTACTCCTGTGGCAGCAGCAGCCATAACTGCGGACGAGCTGAGAATCAAGCTCAGTGACTTGTCTCGCCACAACAGCGATCCCAGACCAGGCTCCCCTGCCATTCCAGCTGCATCAACAGCAGCAGGAGATATCACAGCAGCAGCAGCAGAACTAGCAGCAGCCATTCCCACAGCAGCAGCCGCAGCAGGTGGTGCCACTTCAGCAGCACCATCACCACCAGCATCGCCAGCAGCAGAAGCAGGCACGAGAAGCAGCAGCAGCAGTGGGTGCGTGCAGGTGAAGTTCCTGGTCCCACTGGACGACCTCCGGGGGCTGGCACGTGTGTGGAGTGAGCTGGAGGGGCAGAGGTCGCGGCTGGGCATAGAGGAGATGAGCTTCAGCCAGCCCACCCTGCAGCAGGTGTTCCACCGCCTCACCACAGTCGCCAGGGACCAGCCCCCCCGCCCCGTCGTCTGACCCAAAAGCCTCCTCCCCGCCTGGTCATGTGACGTGATGTGCTCTCGGAGTTCACAGGAAAACTGCCCTGCCCTGCCCCCCCCCCCCACCCTCTCCTCCCCAAACCCCGTGTTCCATCGTGTGTTGGGTGCCTGCTTGTTTGATGACACGGTACTCTAGGGGTATTGGCTGGGATGGATGGATGGAGGGAGGAGATTGCTTGTGGTGAGTCCACCGCACAAGGCAAATGTTGCTGGAGGTTGAGGTTACACCGTAACTGCTGAGTGTGGCGTGCAGTGGAGCTCAACAAGATACCGCACCCTTCAACTATCAGACCTTGTTCTGAACTGAACACCTTGCTGATTATCAGACCACTTTATTCAATCCCTGGCTGGTGACAGCTCCGCTACGCTGGTGAAGATGTTTGTTGGACTGCGAGTGTGGCTGTCGAGTCGACTGAGTTGCATGCATCGTTACATTATATCTTTACAAAGGCAAATTCTTGGAGGAAAGAAGGGTTATTTGCAGTCATGTGACGACTTTAGTAGCTGATTACAATGCAAAGCAGCCGTTTTAATAAAAGACTGGATACTTCTAGTACACCCAAAGCTGGCCACCAGGGCTGATTTTATCAGACTATTTACTCTGATTAGTCTGAAATCTCAGACCGGTTTTTTTGCCAAACCTGAATTTCCAGTTAAGGCATTTTCTCAATCCTGATTGATTCAGACTAAGACTTTGGGGATCCTGAAAAAATCCGAGTACACGCTAATCCAGTGCTGAGTTTTCAGAGTACATCGGGTACGAACCCTGAAACAGATTTCCATGGGGCACGCAAGATTGTTAAAATTATATAAGTCATAATTTTATATAGGCTTGGTAGGTTGCTACTGAACCTTTCTGTAGGGGGTACAAACCCCTCCTTGTACTCCCTTCTCTTCCTAATCCAACACTCTTTCTTCTCGACTTTCCTCCTACTCCTAGATCCGTTTTTCCTAGCGCCGTTCCATGGCGGCCTTGCTCCTATCCTAGCTAAGCTAGTGTCCTAACTTTAGGGACCTAGCATCCTAAGTTCTTAACATGGTATCAGAGCAGGAGATCCTTCCTGCTGGACTGCCTCCTCTCGCTTCCGCCATTTACTCCTCATCCTCATTCACTCCAGCGGCCATGGCGGCCGCGTTTTGCTGCAGTGGCGACGTCGCGCTGCCACTGGGCGCGTCGTGCCGCGACCGGCCCGACGCGCTGCCGCGGAGTCGGGCCGTCGTTCTGCAGTCGCAGCGTCGACGCCCCGCTGCGGCATCGACGCTGCCATGGCGGCCGCGGCGGCGTCACGCTGTGGCGTCGTCGTCTGTTCGCCGGCTGCGCCGTCCTGCCGCGGCCGTCTCGACACGCGACCGGGACGACGTCAGCGCGACGCCGCGGCTGCGCCCCTCCTGGGCCTCGTCGCGCCCTGCCTGGCCTCATCGCACCCGCTCGGCCCCGTCGCGCCCTGCCTGGCCCCGTCGCCCTCTGCCCGGCCCCGTCGCCCCCTGCCAGGACGCCGTCGTCCCGCCTGTAAGCGCCGCGCCATTTATGGCGCGACGCTGAAGACTCGCCCCGCCCCCCCCCCCCCCCCCCCCCCCCCCATTCTCCCTTCCCCCTGCGTCTTCCCTTCCTCCTGTCGCAGCTGCTGTCTTCTGCCCGGACGTTGCCACATCGCCGAGAGCCCTCAGCCGCGGCAGTCGCCGCCTGTCGTCGGCGACCCAGCCGCCTTGAGCCAGAGCTCCGCGGCTGCTTGTCGCTGACCCGCCTAGACGCCGTCGGCTGCCTCGTGTACGGGGGTGTGTCAACGCTTTGCCTGAGGGTCAGATACCCGGCTAAGCACGAGCCTGAGGGTGTGCGGGGTTAGGGGGTGGGTTGGGTGCGGGTGTGGGGGTGTGAGTGGGCTTGACACTACCAAGCCTAGGGGGTGTGTTAAAATTATATAAGTCATAATTTTATATAGGCTTGGTAGGTTGCTACTGAACCTTTCTGTAGGGGGTACAAACCCCTCCTTGTACTCCCTTCTCTTCCTAATCCAACACTCTTTCTTCTCGACTTTCCTCCTACCCCTAGATCCGTTTTTCCTAGCGCCGTTCCATGGCGGCCTTGCTCCTATCCTAGCTAAGCTAGTGTCCTAACTTTAGGGACCTAGCATCCTAAGTTCTTAACAAAGATCCCCAGAAATTTCGCCTGCCATCAGTGCTTCCCGCCCGCGTCACGTGCAGAATCCACACTTCGCATAAAATTCCGCCAAGTCCAACGTATACTCTGCCCACAGTGGGCACTTTGCTATCCAGCGCGGCAAAAATGCTGCCATGCTGAGCCAATAAGGACCGCAGATTCTGCTCTGTTGCTCTCTGTGCATGCGCGAACCTCCGGCACGTGCCCTCTATGCCAGCCTTGCAGACCTTTCAAGAAAGGTGCGACACGGGTTTGATGGACCCCTTCTTCTCCAATCGTTCCTTACCCATCAGCTTTGAACGCACTGCTTCAAGTTTTACAGGGGGAATCGTTCCATTTGTTCATTTGTCTGGGACACAGGCGTAGTTGTAGTCGCTTTCTTTAGTTCCTCCTCTCGCCATGCCTGAAAAGGATGGCGCCGATGATGCTCCTGCTGACGGTGATGAGCCGCGCAGCAGTAAGGATCCTGCCGTAGCGCCAAGGAGCGCCCTAGACATCTTGCGGCCCGTTGCCGCATCGGCTCCTTCGCCTTTTGTCGCCACAACCGCTGTTGACGAGACACCGTGCAACGAGCCATCGTTGCCTAGTAGACCTGCCCCCGCTCCCTTCATTCTCTCACCAGCCATAGCATCTTCCAGCAGAGGGCCAGTGGATCCTATTCAATGCGCCACTGCCTCTACCGTTCGTTATAGTGTGCCATGCGCATCTACTGTCTCTTCCGCGAAAAAACAACGCACGACGAAGTATACGCAGCAGCGTATCAACCTTGGTGGGCAGATTCGCCCTCCCTCACCACCGCGCTCACCTCCCCCTGTCACCCGCCCTGATGAACCGCCGCCACCGAAGCTAAGTACAAAGGAGTTGATTGAGCAGAAGTACCTAGTCGCTGAGGCTAAGTACGAGAATGATTGGCTGCGTTATTTCCCCTGGCTTGTACTTACCCGTACTAAGGAAGGCTACCCCGCCCTTAAGTGCAGCGTTTGCCGAGCCTTCGGCAAAGAAACGACGAAGTACTCAAGGCTAGGCGATGGCGGGCGAGATCTCCAGACACAGACGATGCGCATCCATGAACACTCGAAGAGGCGGTTCGCCGGCAGCTCGAGATTCAGAAGGAGATTGAAGACAAGCAGCAGAAGATGACAAGCTTCGCCACCGTCGATGTCGAAGGCCGCCGCGTCATCCGTCTTTTGCAGTGCGTAGAGTTTCTTTGCAAGAACGATGCTCCTATCGCCATGTTTCCCAGGCTACTTCGTTTCATGGCAGGGCAAGACACACCAGACATACCTCTCTAGTCGTACGGTGTGTATCTCACCAGGTAAGGCTACCTTGTTTTCGTCGGTCGACTGTATGATTTTGGTATCAGCCATGTAAATTTCAATGCATTTGCAATGCTAATTAACGACTGTTTCACTTCTGATTATGCCACTGCAGGTACGGGTTCCAGCAGATGGTGAACTGTCTGTCAACTCATCTGCTGGCTACTCAGATGGAGCACATCAAGAGCTCACCTTACCTCGGCATCTCATGCGACGAGAGCACCGACCGCACGCGGGGAAAGCACCTGATCGTCTACATCACATTCATGCGGCTGCGTCGAGTCGTCACCAAATTCCTAGCCCTGTTAGAAGTTCAAAAGTGCGACGCCGCTTCTCTCATGGCCACTCTCCTAGTCCACCTGGAGTCATCCGGCATCGACCTTCAACGCATCGTCGGCATCAGCACAGACGGCGCGTCGGTGATGGTCGGGCGAGACAACGGGCTTGTGGCGCGCTTGCGAGACATCATCCCGCACCTCTTTTCCTCCCACTGCATCGCCCACAGGTTTGATAAAGTATTCCTTGCTGTTTGTTTATGTTTCTTATAACTCTGTGTGCTAACTAACCCGTGTGGGTACATGCAGAGAAGCACTTGCTGTGAAGGACGCTGCCCCTTCATATCTAGACCTCGACATGGTCGACAAGGTCACTCGCACCCTTGCGGACCTTCTCGGCCGGTCGAACGTATGGAGCAGTCGTTTCCAGCATCTGCAGCGGGAGATTCACAGCACAAACCTTGAGGTTCAAGGCATCCATCAAGTTCGATGGTTGTCTAGGGGAGAGGCAATCCGACGCCTGTGTAAAGTGTTGGGTGCTGCAATTGTCCTGCTGTATGAGTATGAGCATCCCCTGTATGAGGTTGTGATTTCGTATAAGTTTCAGTTTTGCCTCTTCTACCTGGCCGACATGCTGGCACTCATGAATGACCTCAACCTCAAGTTCCAGAAGCGAGAGGTGAGATACTGTCTGCAAGCGTGGTGTTCTCCTCTCGTGCAAGTACTCATGTTTTTCCCTCTCCTCTGTGTCCTCCCCCCCACACCGCAGGTCGATGTCACAGAGGTGGCAACGGACATCGACGAGACACTGGGGGATCTGCGGCACCGCTACAGTGACGGAAGAAACTGTCCATATGTTGACCCTTTGAGAGGTTAAAAAGCGTGTGTATTTCTTATACAGAGTTTTAAAAACAGGGGGATTTAATATACTAGTGTAGTGCCTCCTGAGCAAGAGGAGCACATGTCATACAGCCTGAAAGGGCATGTTTATAATGCCAAACCAACAACCACATTCAGCAAGTCCTATTCGGACACTTTTGGCCAGATTTGAAGAAAGTGTTCAACATTTCAAAATCAGTACCTAGTCCACCTCCCCTTAGCCCTAACCACTGCCTTCACCCTCCTAGGCATGCTGTTGATGAGGCCCCTGCACACATCCGCCCCAATCCCATCCCATGTCTCTTGCACCCGCTCCCAAGTCTGGAGCATCCCCGTGGGGGGGTGCTCATACTTGGCGAGCTCCCTTTTGAGGTGTGCCCACAGGTGCTCTATGGGATTGAGATCAGGGGAGGAGGAGGGCCACTTGAGGACCGCATACGGCTGCTCAGCTAGCCATGCTTGCACAAGGCGGCTCTTGTGCTTGGGGTCGTTGTCATGCTGGAAAATGACATCCGAGGGGGTTAGACTATAGAAATCGATAGTTTGAGCAAGCTCATCATGCAATATACTCCTGTACAGCTCCCCATCCATGCGGCCGTCAATCTTGCACATATACCCCGGGCCATCATAAGTCATGCACCCCCATACCATCAATGACCCGCCCCCATGCTTGACGGTTTGTTGAATCTGATGACCTTGCAGGGCCGCCCCGTCGCGAATCCATGCGTACTTGCGGCCATCACTGGACAAGCGGTTGATTTTGGTCTCGTCGGACCATATCACCCGCTTCCAGTCTTCAATGGTCCAGTCAACGTGCGCCTTGGCGAAGTCGAGGCGGTCTTTGATGTTTCGGGCAGATAGTCGCGGCTTCTTCGGTTTCTGCACGGCTACTAGACCGGAGTTCTTCAGGG